AAACATTGGCTTGCCTACCACAGATATATTATTCCTGCTTTGTCCATTACTTTGGCATGAAGAAAAGCCTTGATGAGATAAAACTGATGGTGCCACGTTAAGGCTGCTTTGCACAGAATTGGATTGCTGAGAGCCATTGAAGGTCATGCCTACATTCTGTAGCTCCCAATCATGGGATCTGTGCTGTTGCAAGTCACTAAAGATATCATAACTTGGCATGAATCCTCCAGGTCCCTTTATTTCTGAGCTGATCTCTTCCTGAAATGTCCCCTTGGATGTGAGACTAGGCACCTCAGCAGCACTTCCAAGAGGAAAACTAGTGGCTGTCAATTCAGCTGTAGTGTTCAAAGGGAAATTCAACAACGTAGATGATTGTGAAACTGGATTGAATCCTATTCCTCTGCCATTTTCAGCTAATCCATTTCTTGTCAAGACCCCACTGGCAAGTGCATTAGATGCAATAGGCTGCCCTATGGATGATGAGAGTCTGGGAACATGGCTGTTGGTAGTTTCATTTAGTATCTGACCCCTAGACTGCTGTTGAGACATCTGCATCAGCAAAGAACTACTCTGGCCTGCATGGGCATTGAATTGCATATTCATGCTCCCGAGGGACTGTGCTGAATGGTGCAAGTTCGCTAGCTGCTTTGGCTCCATGGTGGTTGGGATTCCATGAAGCAGGTTCGTTTGCTTACCATTGTTCAAATGTTGCTGTTGCCCCTCCCCAAATCTTAATTTTGGATTTTCAAAGCTGAAAAGGTTCCTCTGATCAACAATTGGCATGGACATTCTAGGTTTTGCTGTTGATCGACCAAGTCCAGCTGCTTGCAGTGTGGCGAGACTTTGTGCAGGGAGTTGACCAGCAGTAGCAAGAGTTTGAAGGTCAAGCCCATTAAGGGAGGACAATGACCCATATGTTGCCTCTTGTGGGCTGATAAAAGAGCTGCCCATACCGTTCTGGTGCTGTGAAACCCCACTTAACCTTCTAAGATACAAGCGATATTTCTGTGCCAAACGGTTCGATAGTTAGCATAAATGAAACTGGAAGGAGAAGTCACAAGATATTTGTATGAATTAACCCAGGACAGACAAAAAATCATGACAAATAAAAGAAACATGTACATGATATTTTATGGAAAACATTCCATGCAAAGCAAATTTGTTCCGTACCTGAAGGTGGCTAGCAACATTTTCTCTAGTGAGTCCAGGAACATTCATCAATTCCAGAATTTTCTTGGGGACAGCCTCTGAATCCACAAAAGAAACATAAACGTATAAAAGGGCAGTGGTATTGGAAGGAAATAAACAGAGTCCATTGGAGAGAACTATGATGATGTAAGGTTTGACCTCCAGTCAAATTACATTTGGGTGACTGGATTGAATTCTTAAAAAAAAATGTCAAGGCAGAGCACAGAGAGCCATTAGTTATGCAAAAGTATCAAGAATTTCGTCAAAACTGTGAGTTGATTGAGAACAAAAGGGCAGCAGAAAAGTATGTTTATGGCTTACACTTCCTTAACCCCAAGATTGTTCTCTTAATTTCCAATGCATGCTTATAACTATGTGCATGCCTTCTCTAAACACAAGGCACAGCCTTTAGGTGCATGTAAATTAGGCAGCAAAGCGGTATTAGCAAATTGAGAGATATGGTTAGGATACTTACTGTCAATGCCTAGTTGATTAACTGCTGCGACAAACTGTTGATGAAGTTCAACTGACCAAACCACACGTGGTTTCTTTAACGCGGATGTATCATCCCTCTCCTCTGCTTCTTCTTCCTCATCTTTTCTCCTCTTTGAATTTTTCCAACTTCCTTCATTTGCTGAGGACGAGTAATCAGCATCTTCAGGTTGTTTCTGCTGCCTATCTCCTCCCTCTTCGACACTCCCTGATTGCTCCAAATCCTTCCATTCATTCCTTCTCTTGCGAACCACATGCTGCCATATGTTCTTCAGTGCCTCAATGCGAATCGGTTTAATCAGGTAATCACAAGCACCGTGAGTTACACCTTGCATCACCACATTTTTCCCATCATCAGCTGACATCACTGCACGGTTCATGATTAAGCACATGACATCACATTAATGTTAAGAAAGATCATTAAATCCATCTGAAGCGACTGTGACCGGAAACTTACTGATAACAGGCAGATCCATCTCCAGCCCAATGCACTCAAGAAGTTTAAATCCATCCATGTCTGGCATGTGGACATCACTGATAACAATATCATACCCGTTTTTGTTCTCTCGAAGTAAAGACAACGCGATCTCCGCTCGATTGCACGTCGTAACTGAAAATTCCCACACAGACCAACTGAATCAATCAAATTACACGAACAACGAGTCTGAGACGCACACACAGAGGCTGTGAAGGAAGTTTACCAACCAGTCACAAAGAGGAAAGCATCAGACATCATAAATTCATGCAAATCTCCAAGACAAGAAGATACATCCAAATTCCTAGAAATCTTGAACCAAATTTAGGACTCCAATTCACAACATGATCATAGCACAAAGTATTACAGATGTGACACCAGCCCTCAAATCTAAACACTTCCACATATCTCCACGATAAAATTCACTAAAGTAATAGGAAAAAAGAAAAGATCATTTATAAAAGTCACGCAGAAAAATCACAACACACTCAAAATTAAGGCAAAATAATGTCTTCCACAAAAAAAACATGAAATTCAAAGAAACTAAACTTATCTTTTGGAAGTAGAATTCACATAAATCTCCATAAATACCTTCATAAAGGCAGGTCCTAAGCATCTTCTCCAAGATCACAAGGCATGTTGGATCATCATCAACAACCAACACACGCAACCCTGCCGGAAACTGATCTGGGACGCCATCAGAGGCCTTCCAGACGCCACCAGAAGTAGCCGTTGACATTGATCCTTTGCTGTTAGCAAGATTCATCATAGCTGCAGGAACTTTAATCTCCAAGAGAAGCAATTAAACAGAAACGAGACACCAAGTTCACATGTTTGAAAGACCTCAACTTGGCATCAAAAACATTAAAAAGAAAAGGAACCCGGTTGAGAAACACGGATGTTCGAGGGAAAGAAGGGATTTTCTTGGATTATTAGAGTAATTGATTAATAAAAGAGACATCCATCAGCTTCAGTTGAATTGAATTCAAGCTCTAAAAAATTCCCTGGTTTCTTTCAGTATTAATATATATTTATTTTAATTTTAATCAAAGGATTATTTTATTTAAAAGTGGGTCAGTCGTTCTTGGAGAGTGGATCCAGCTCACAATTAAGGTTAACTACCTCCAGCAAGAGTCCCTAACGTTAAAGTCTTTTTTTTTTTTACTGTTTATTTTTTTTTATTGTTTATTGTTGTTATGTATGATGTGTTTAATTCTATTTCTTTTTTGTGTTTTTTAAAAAAATTAAAAAGTTTTTATTTTTTAAATTAATATTTTTTTGATATTTTTAAATTATTTTTATGTATTCATAGTAAAAATAATTTTTAAAAAATAAAAACAATATTATTTTAATATATTTATAAATAAAAAATATATTAAAAAATAACTATAATCATATTTACTGAATAATATCTTTGTTTTTTATTTTTTGGTAGGTTTTTGTGTTTTAGGGTCAATTTTTGGTGTCCAAATTTGAATTTCTGTTGTGAAAGATAGCATGGGATTGTTTGTTGAAATGAACGAATTATGCTTTATCCAATTTCTTAAAATTAATTCAAATTGTTCTGAATTTGATTTCTATCAAACCAGCTTTTGAATTTTTTTTCTTATTATTTCTCCTTTTTTTTCTCAGATTTTATAGTTCTTTTTATTATTATAACCTTTTAAATAAAAAAAAATATTAATACTAAATTGAAAAATATAAAATTCATTCCTTTTAAATTAAAAAAAAACTAGAAAAGCTTAATATTGTAATATTAGACAAGAAAATAAAAATAAAAATTAATAAAAATCCTAAATTGAAAAGAAAAAAATAAAAATAATTATTTTCTAAAAGAAAAGCTCTTAGATTAGTATTTTTAAGTTGGAAAGAATTCATCCTTGAATTCACATTAAATTGAGAAACTATCCTCCATCATTAATATCTTTTATATTTCGGTAAGTTTATTATAGTTTTCTAATATATTTATTTTTATTATAAATCTCTGACATAATATTTTTATGATAATTATATCATTATAAATCTATAACACAACATCATTATAAAGCAACCATATCATAGATCTTATTGACAAGATATTTAATAACAACTGATATGAATTGAAAAAAAAAAATTCTTGATATCATTTATTTTTGAAAAGCAATCATCTTATTATTTTTTACCCGAATATGTTTTGTTATATTATATTTTTTAGTTTTAACTATTTAATAGCACATAATAATTAATTATCAGGAATTATTAGATAATGATATTAACACATAGAAATGAGACCAAAGGATAATAGAATTTATTATAAATCAAAATCCTAAAAAACCAAAAACAATATAACTATAAAAAAATTTTCAAAATACTTAATTTTTATTTATCATAATCTCACTTACCAAAAAGAGTATTGCAACCTTTTATATATAAAAAAAAAACCTAGAAAACCCAATTAACATTGAAAAGAAAAATTAAAAAACTATTTCTTTTAAACATAATTGAAAAAGAAAATAAAATTCAAAAAAATATATTTATTTTCCTGAAAGCTCCAACATCATTTTAGGTTTCCACTTTCAAGTTCCAAGAGTGGTTCACATCATTCACGATATGAACAAAAGCTTTCTGATATTTGTCATTCTTTCTTTTGATATATATATATATATATATATATATAAAGTTGAAAGCAACCAACTGGTCCTCGCAAATTCCCGTGATAGCATCACCAAAATGGAACTCCTTAACTGCATTTTAGTCTCTATAATTTCAGAAAATCTTCATTTTGACCTTTATAGTCGAAAACTTGTGTCCACTCCCTGCCCCTAACTGACAAGTGTCCTTTGCCGCCGCATGGTTGGATAAGGTCTCTTTGGCTTGTATTGTTTCTTCAGTGTTTGGTTCCCAAACTCATCCTCCGAAGCATCTTTTGGCCTTTTATGCTGTGCCCGTTTCTGGAAATCTCTTTTTTTTTCTTTTATTAAAATTTAAAAAGTGATTTTTTCTTAATTAAGATTCAAGAGAGAATTTTAAATGGGATATATATAAAAAATATATAATTATTTCATTAATTAAATATGATTGAATTTATAATTGGAATCCAACCACAAAAACAAATATAATTTTATTTATATAGTTATCTCACATTTATTTACCATTCCAGTGTAGGTCATGATAATGCCTCACACCAGCAGGGAGCAAAATGCGAAAAACATTATCCCAAAATATCTTAACCGGCAGAATTAGAATAAAAGAAGGCTGCGGCATCAGCAATTACTGATGCAGTCAAAATCAGTATTTTACTAGTAAATGCACTATAGACTTATTAAAAAATATATATTCATTTAATTTATCAAATAAGATTTAGGGAAATTGGGATGAAACGGCTCCTGGTCAAAGAGGGATGATCAATTGCTTCACTTAAATAAATAAATAAATAAACCCTTATCAACAAAAGAATGCCAGTCTTTTTATCACATGATGCTGTATAAAGCATGCGAATTAAACTACAAAAGGACTATGGTTTATCCACTATTATTTTTTTTTAATATATAGTAAGAAATTGATAGCTTGCTTTTTCACCGCAAGAAAAGCAGTGACCTTACTAAAGGAGGGCATCCCGCAGACGTATATTCTCTGTAACCTTTTAACTTTTACGATGAATACATGTATTTGTCATTTACTTTCACTGTGAAGAGTGAAAACCCTTCGAAGCTTCAAACCCAATAAAATAAATAAATAAATAAATAATACGCAGTGGATTTTACAAATCTTGTAAAGCTAAAGCAAAGTGATTTAATAATTAATTATTTCTGGTTGTAGCTTTTTATGTAAGAGTGATGGAATATTGTTGTGTGTGACTGCGCGCGCAGAATTATCCTCCACGCGCGCATTAAATTAGTTGCCACTCTTATGATAGCTTAAGCCTTGGTGGGTTTCAGGTGATTGCACATGTGACACGTGGCTTCTCATGGAAGTTGATAAAAGTCCAAGTAGCTTTTTGCCGGCCTTTTTTCCCCTCTTGAATTGCGAGTACCATGCCGCTGGGGTTAATTATTCTTTAGATTTTGATTGATAATAATATAAAAAATAAAAAAAAATTAGAGATCTTGGGATCTTGAGTTATTGACCATGATTTTTTTTCCTCCTTTGTTACCATCTTTCTCTGCTTTTTTTAATGGCATAGTTTATTAATAGTTTATATATGTTTGAAGTATTTGGCGAGTTAAATTAATTATTTTTTAAATGTAATAAATAATATTTAAATAGTAAAAATTATTTAATATTATTATTAAATCTTGTTTAGTAATTTAACTTTGAAATTTTTTAATTTTACTTTTTATCTAAACAGGATTTAAAGTTAAATTGTGTGGAAGCTGACCCGACATAACCTAGTCAACTTGATCAATCCAAACACAACCCAACTAACTTGTAAAAGAAATTTGAGGATGAAATTGACAAAACAAAAACTCTCTCAGCCTAACTTCTTGCCTACCTTAAGTGTAAAATTAAACTTATAAAAGTTATCCTAACATGACCTAGTCAACTTAACTAGTATAAAGGTAACCTGACAGGCCAGTAAAATAATTATAGGACATAATCAAGAAAAAAAATAATAAAAATAACATAAATTACCTCTCAATCTAACTCTTTGTTGGCCTGAGTTTTAAATTAAACCGTGTGAGAGTTGTCTAGAAATGATCCATTTGACTTGGTCATTCCAAAAATAATCTAGAGGATTGTTAGAAAAAGTCTAATGAAAAAAATGAAAAAAAATGATAAAATTAAAAGAAATAAAAGAGGTAAATGAAAAAAGAAAAAAATAAAGAGGAGTTGAATTGATAAAAAAAAAATCTAAAAACAAGCTTCATTACATGTATAAATAGGAACTTTCCTAAGGTTTTTAGTATAATAGGGTAATACTACCAACTAAAGGAAGGGAGTAGTTTTTATGTTACTTTTTATTTTTATTTTAACTTTATTGATTAAGTAAAATTTAAATTAATAGAAACTATATAAGGATTGAAAAACACTATAGAAGCATACTTATTTGTTATGTTCACCATATCAGTATAATGGTGCCTTTGCCCTTCTTCAAAAAAATTAAATAACTTGATGTTGGGGGTATTTAGGTCTTTTCATAAGACCTGCTAGCTATTAAAGGATTAAACGAGGGTATAATCATATTTTTTTTTATCATTTAAGCACAATAAAATGACTCAATTGTCTTGCAATTCATTTTTTTTAATTGATAGGTAAGGGTATTTATATCATTTTACTTATTTCAAAGATAGTAAAATGACAACTTTATCCTGGAAATCAAAAAAATTAAAACATATGTCCAGGGATCTTTTAATCTTTTCATAATAGATTTTTTGTTATTATTGGTTCATGGAGAGAAATTGGATCATTATACATAGATTAAATATTATTTTAATGGAGAAAATGGAGGGGCATATGGGAGGCATGCATGAAATTAGGGCAACATGTGCAACACTCTCGGCAGCCAAAAATATATTTCCTTTATGTTGTTGGTGGTGAGATTTGTTGCTAGTGGATCTTTTTTTTTCTCTCTCCTCAATTGAAAATAACAACTTGACCCTATTTATTGTTTATATTTCAACTTCAGTCCTTATTATTTTAATTTTTAATTTTTTTACCCTATTTTTTTAGAAGTTATATCCATTTTCAATCACATCCTTGAATTCTAATTTGTCATTTTTTTTATTTGGTCGTTATTATTTTAATTATATTTTTTTGGCCTTTTTTTGAATTCATATTTCTTCTCAATTTCATCATTTAATCAAAAATTTGTTTGCATTTTTTATTTCAATTTGATCCTCATTATTTACTTTTTTGTCTTTTTGTTAAATTGATTATTCTTTTCAATTTTACCCTTCAATCGAAAATTAAATTTACTTTATATTTCATCTTTGATCCTTATTTATTTAATTTCTATTTTTTAAAATCATTTAGTGTAATTAAAACTCTTTTTTCAATTTCATCCTGTAATACTTGATTGGTTAAGAATTAAGTTTCATGATTTTTTCA